AATCTCAGTCAGGAGAAGTGCAATGAATATGTAACACTGTGTAAAGCAGCCAGCGAAGGTGACGGTCTTCTTTTCTGGTAAGAAATTAGTCAACATCTGCGGGGTTGCGTTCGAGGTATAGCACAAATCTACAAAGGCTAAATTAGTGAGGAAGAAGTACACGGGCACATGAAGGCGAGAGTCGAGTCTGATTAACATCATCATGCCCAGGTTTCCTATGAGGGTGACAAAGTCCACAACCAGAAACAGCACAAAGAGGAGAGGCTGGAGTTCAGGGCAATATGTGAGCCCCAGGAGAATGAATTCTGTTATTGCACTCTCATTTGTGATGGACATTTTCTGAGAGTCTGCGCCTGCATTTGACACAAATGAAAATAAAGCAGCATGAAGGTACAAATCACATTACTGACTACTGAAACAACTTTTCTCTAAACCTTCGTATGTCGTTAAATGAATACTATCATAACCCAACTTTGTACTTCTACTAAGCCATGATTTCAGTTGCCACTGTAAGTATTCTATTTCTATCTGTATACCTACAGTTATACCTATAGGAATACCTATAGATAACTATACTTATACCTTTTCCTATTTCCATATACAGCTGTGGTACGTATTCCCTATATCCCTGCACTATTTTTTGCCTCTCGAACTCTACACATCCTATAAAACCTAGTTCAAAGCCCAGTCCTTTGTGAAGCATGCCTCACTCCACTCACATCGTGTGTGAGCCGGAATTAATCCCTTTAGGTTTTCTGCTTCCTGTGCACTCTATATACTGCTAATTTATTCACAGACACTACATCATCATAGTGAATCTACTTTCTACTCATATTTTAGTTCTTCAGGGTGAGGGACAAAGTCCAGTTCATTATTGTACTGTTACTTCTCAGCATATGTTTATATACGGATTTTACAAAGAAAAGAAAAAAACAGTGTAAGCATGAAAGATGAATTACTTGCAATGTTTTACTCATGTCTGTGTCTCTACGGAGCTTTTCATGATGTAATATGCTTAGGAGAATTAGTACTTTTGAACTTTAGTGTGCAAAGCAGTTGCTCTGGAAGCTCGTTATTCAATAAAAGTCACAGAACATTCATTTCATAAAGTCTTATGTAGGATACTGGGATCATCATATTCAACAATTATCCGGAAAATTCTGATGCAGATGTTCCCAGAATCACACTTTAAAAAAGCACTGTCACAGTGGTCCCATAAACATATGCCAAATAATTGAACAAATAATCATCAAATCGAATCAAATCTTACTTAGCATTTTGAGGACCATCTACAGCAATGATGTAATGTATTGATAAAGAAAAGGAATAAGTTTTGCATAGTTCGTATTTAAGATATGAATCACAGCTTGTGTCTATTAGAGGTGTTCCAGTCCCTATGGACTCCTTTTTATCTCCTTCTTGTCACAACTAGAGCTGAATCCCCTCTTCCTTTCTCTTGAGATGCTTTTATTTTTTGCCCTTTCTCTCATACTTTGTTTCTTTTAAAAATCTTCCCAATTCTTGTTTCTTTTCAATAATGAGTCACTACAACTTACTGTAGTATTAGTTTTAGAAAGATAGTGACAAATTCTTTTTTTTGTGTGTAAGCAAGATCAGCCCTAAGCTAACATCTATGACAATCCTCCTCTTTTTGCTGAGGAAGATTGGCCCTGGGCTAACATCC